CAAAAAAAGAAGGGAAAGATATAACTTTATAAAAACAAATCAGCAATGAATGAATAAGGATCATCATATGATAGTGTAACACATGATGAAAGAAAGTGAGAAAAAAACGACTATTAATAATTTTTTTTTTAAAAAAAGTCAACATTAAAAATCAGAATATTTGAAGAAAAAACAACTGAATTTCAAATTATTTTCTAATATAAATTCATCTATAAATAATCATGTTCATTTATTTGCTCACTCACTGAATTCTTCAAAGTTTTTACGTCTAACCTTAATAAATTCTAATTAATTTGGATTCATTAAAAGAAAAAAACAACAGTAAATGTTATATCATTTTTAAAAATTTTGAAGTGAAATATTGAAAATACATATATCTCAAGATAAGCAGTAGACTTGAATAAATAGTGAAATATAAAGTGTATCCTACGTGTGTACAAACTAAATCTTGTTCAATCAAAATACTGTTAGCATATAGTCCTCAAAGGCAGAAGAGGTAGTTAAAAACACATATACTCCCGAGAGTTGGAGACAGATATTAAAACCATAAATACCACTCGGCAACAACTAGAAAAAAGATTTCAACACAGAGGCGCTTGGAAATATTTTATCACTGCCCTACGTCTCAAGAATGGTTGTAGGCATGTAAGCAGGTCAGTTTGACCACAGTACATGATTATATACATATATATATATATATATATATATATATATATATATATATATATATATATATATATATCAATTTCAGCGTGGACTACTTTAAAATTTAATAACCTCTCTTAACCCCTTGGGCTTATAATATGATATTGAACCATGGTATTTATAATTATGAAGAACATCAAATCAACTGCAGTTCATACCCATATGAGCGATACTGAACAGGTTTTCATGACTTCTTCATTCGCACTCCTCATATCTGTCACCCGACAATATTAATAACTTTTAAAATGGCATCACTGTTTAATATTATCGTCAGATAGATATAAAAGTCAACAATTTGTAAAGTAATTGCCTTTTTGTCATGAAAGGGTTGTGGAGATTGTTGAGTTCCATTGAAATCATAAATCGATCAACATTAGACCAACGTTAAAAACCTGGAGGCAGTGAACAGCTGTCTCTCCTCCGTATATGACACACAAGCATTGCGCATCCACGACCCTTCAAGCAGGAATCTAGACCTTTTAGTAACCTTTTCATTAGGAATGAGTTCTATTAATCCACCCATCACTAGTTTAGACTGCATTTCAAACATATTCATACCTAGAGATCATTTGATTTTCAGCTTTCTATGTATTGGGATTAAATATAGTGTGTGCCTATATGTATATTGGGAAGAAATTTAGATAACTCGTGAACCAATCACTGTTTTCTAATACTTCATATCCCTTCAAAATTTATCGTCAGAAATAAAGAAAATTAACTAATGCTATTTTAATGTTAGTCGATCAGTACAATTTAACCCGATTTTTTCAACTCACAATATACACGAAAAATACAATAAATATAATAACCTTTAAATTATAAATAAATATACCAACTATGGTATTGATTAAAATAAATTCAAAAAAATACATATATTGGCTGATTTCAAATTAAACTGATGTGTTGAGATGGAAATTTTCACAGAAAACTAGAATGAATTAAGTTTGTTGAAATGAACTAATAGTTCTGTTGAACAAATAATCACATGAAAACTGAACCACTCTTTAGAAAAAACCTCATTTCCACTGAAAAGTGATTTTTTTTCTAAAGAAGCAGATTGTAACTTATTCGTCTCCATGATAATAAATATGTCTGAAAGAATATTCCAGAGTATTTAGCTACTGTTTCATAAAGTAACTAGTTTATATCAATGAAAACTGAATGAAAATCTGAGAATCAATCCCAAATACGACATCGCCTGTGGCAACGACTGATAATTATGCAAGATATAATTTTCATTAATATAAATTAATTAAAACAAATAGATATGATTGATTAACTAATACTATTTAATCTCTGCAAAAATGTTACTTTCATAGTGATGCAGAGAAAAAAATCAGCAAAACGATGAAAACGATAATTTACTAGATATATTTTAATCATATTCACATATCAGTTAAATTTTGTTCCTGAAGAAGAACTAAATATCAACATAACATTTTTCAAGATGATCGGTCAACAGGAAGAATACCAAAAACATTACAGAGAGCAGTCCATTAAGAAAAAAAAATTGTCATCATACTAAAAGGATTCTCGCTAACAGAATCTCATAGAACATAAACTGAATGATATTTTTAAAGTTTCTAGTAAGAATGAATATCCCACTAAATTGACTGCTAAATATTTTATGCAAAATAAAAATAAGTCTATGCTGAAACATTAATTGAACAGTAAAAGATGTCTTTGCTCTATTTTTCTACTAAAAATGATCAATATCTGCTTCCTATTAATTACACGTTTTATCTACTAGTATATTTCATAGTAGAAATATCGCCCACAAAGGATGACATTGTTTAATTTCTACTGAAAACGAAAACATTAAGAAAGGTAGGTGAATTTTAGAGTTAAGGCGTAACAGTAGTTATACTACTCTTGTTAACTATTTAGGTAGTATTTAATGATATAAAGTTATTATATCGAACATTTGGGTCAATGGAACATTTTTGGGGTGTCTATTGAGATTTAAAGAAAGGATGATACTTAGGAAACTATATTTTCTTTCACATCTGTGTGTATTATTCTTTATAAACTATAATTACCACTCGATCAGTTTGACACAATCATATTTGTTTTAATAGTGATTAAACATGAATAAATATTTATTAGAATATAATAATTCTTGGTAAATTTTTATATAAATCCCTAGTCAATTTGAATATTGTTCTTTGCTTTTTTTTCTTCTCTTTTGATAAAATCAGCATACAAGTAAGCGGTAGGTGTATATTGTCTAATGAAAACAGTAAAGTCCATTAGTGTAGAAAAAAAAGTCCCTGAATTCGTAATCGACAACCGGAATTTTCAGAATATTTAAAATCTTGTACTACCAGTGAGTTAAGTGAAGACTAAAAAAATATCCTTAATGTCTAATGCAGAATTAACATAAATGATAAATAGTAATAACTTACATGTTTGGATGAATAAATTATGACTTTGTTTGAATTTATCTTTTTAAAAAAATCAATTTTCAACACAGTACAGATTACTACGGTACATTCATTTCATTTCAGTATATCAAATTGTACAAACAATTTATTTTTATGAATATAAATTAAAGAAAAACAATTTTTGTCAAATATATATTATCTGATACATCGAAATCTTCTACTTCAAATTGTCGTAATTACAAATAATATTTCAACGAAATCAGTTTTTGAAATTCAAAATAAAACTGTACTATGTACTTTTATACATAATACGTTAAATAAAAACATTATTTATAAGTTGAATTGAAATCGTTTTTATTCAGCGAATTAAAGGAAATTTTCACAGTGATCAATACTGGTTAGTCATTGTTAATCATTCACTCCGTTTTATCGAGAACAGCATTGAAAATGACTAAGTGAATATCGATTATGGTTGATATATGATTTTCTTTACATTTTTCAGTAAAATGTCATGAAACAACTGATTAGTCATCTAATAGTAACGGCTTAAGCAAAGTTTAAAAGCATTGGGTTTGGCTGTTTGTGAATCACCTACAATGACACAATCAATGGTCAGAAATCAACTCTTTTGTATTGTCGCCAACTGTTACTGCCAAAGCAGCGCTACATTGGCTGAATAAAAAGGAGAATATGCATTAGATGTTATGAACACTTTCCTAAAAGCCTTCAAACAAAATAAATATATACGTCAAACAATACAATCAATAAGCATATTTTGGATACAGTACATCAAGTTGATACCTTACAATCTTTCAAAGTGAACGGTTTGACGTTTACTAGACAATCATTCATTAATATAACAAATTAATAAAAAATAATTGATACGAATACTCATTGAAATTTAAACAAACTATTTTGTAAAAAATTAGCTATTAACTATACAGAAGACTGTGTTGAAGTAATCTCATTCATTGAAAATTTAATAATTTCAGGGAAATCATTCCTTATAAAAGTTTGAACCTATTTTGATAGGCGAGATTTAAACTTGGCGTTCACATAAAATATTTGTTCAAAATATTCTCAAAATACAGTTGATTGATAAAAATAGAGTAAACTTAGGCATAATGTAATGATTTATCGAAACCAAATGCAACATTTTCATACAATGTAATCTGCATAAGTTGGAGAGGGAAAATAAACTTCTCAGTTAAGAGGTAATTCAAATCTCAACTGAAAATATCAACTAAATTATTTTAATTATGGACATAGCTAATTATTCGTTTCATGTATGTGAATACATGTGTTTGGATCAACTCTATCTAGAAATTAAAAATCAATTTAACATAATAATTACAGTAATATACTGTACGTTAGTTGTATTCTTGAGCATATCATACGAGATTCGGGTCTTCAGAGGTCACGTGAATTTAACAGTACAACAATTTATCGATTTTTTATTAGTTAGTACTACACTATTATTTCAAAATTATTCAAAATAGTCAACAAAAAAACGAGCTTCATAGTATTCTGTTTTGTTGAGATTATCTTCATTAAATTGTGTAAACCGATTGATGTATCCCCTGGTTTATATTGTGGTCATTTTTGTATAATTCTGACGACTTTATTGTTCACAAATCTGGATGTGTATTAATTGTTTCCTACTCTTATTTTTAAAGATTTATTTCGAGAGTTTTCTTCTTTTTTCTATTTGACTATTTCTCATTGTAATCTAATCAAACATTATGTAATGTACTAGATCCTAATATCTCCAGCTGTTGTAATTTTATATGTCTTAAGCTTTCTAAGCTTTGTCCTTTCTCTGCCCATGATATGAACTTACTTATCACATGAATATTCAATCTTATGGACAATTTTTTTAGAAAAATTCCCTCATTTTCTATTCGGTCACAGTTAACCGGGCTTTAGTTTTTGCCTTGATGTTTTAATCAATGATTTATTGCTCATACTATTGAGAACTGTCAATTTGTTTGAATATTGATTACAATTGATACATGATGTAAACAGCTGAAAATGAATATGTAATAATGTGTCCCAACTGCCTCCTCTGTTATATTTTAATGAATAAAAAGAAGTAGAATATTACATATCTGCTCCATTCATGTTCGATTCATCCTCATATTAAGAGAACCAAAGAGAAAAAGTCGGAATAATCAGATAGTTTGATTTTTTCTATTGAGCTGAGGCAGTTTTATTTTTATGTGAAGGCAAATTTGCTTGTCGATATCATAACATCAGTCAGATTTCCTCCAAACAGAAATTTATAGTGACAGTATGTAGTTAGTCAGTAGCCTTATACATCAAGATTAAATTCTGATAGTTTAGAAAATAATAGTTATAGTATAATGACCGAAAACTTTAAGACCAGATGAAATATTTATTTTATGTAAAGAGGACACAATTTCCTAGCAAACTGTGTACATCTTTTGTTCAGGCTTCCATTTGAGAAAATAAGCAGATTATTGGTTGTATTCTTTCATATATCTAGTTTCCGAAAACCTTTGATCACTCCACACATCTGGATTCGGCGCTTATTTCTTCAGCAGTAACTCCTGGACAATATTCCTCTGCATACTACTTGTAAGCCATGTTCCGAATAGTATACACCAAAAAAGTAATAATCATAATATATCTATAAGTAGTAGTGTAGTTATTCCAGTATTAGCTTCAAAGTGATATTTTCTTATTGCATCTAAGAGAACAAACGAACTTGTCATTTGGAAAAGGTCTACACTCAACCTGTTTACTGGACTAGTGTAATCATACGTTAAATCAAACTGTTAGAATTTAACTACTAACCGCAAAAAAATGTATTAATTTATACAACGATTAGAAAAAATGCCGAGGTTTAACGATCAAAGAAGTTGATATCAAACTATCTTCTTGACTACACTTAGTTACTGTATGGTTACTGTATAGTTTTGAAATTTCTCCACATGTTAGTGAGTGAATGTATCATTATATTTGAACATGTTTTTCTGATTCAATTATGAAGATTGGAAATTTCGTAAACTGTCTACAATAAACTTCTTGAATGCATTCCTAATGATTAGTCTATGAGAGAATATTTCGAAAATTAAGAGTATTTTCGATTTCATAAAATATGTATTGTATGCTTGGAGTTAATATCCACATATAAATATCAAAGAATATATATAGGCTCTTTTATGACAATCCCTGTACACCACATATTATCTGACCACTGAGTAGTAATTAATATCGAATCTGTCTAGTTTTTAATGACAGTAAAATTCTCCAGATAGAATTCCATTGAGATTACTAATCACAGTTGTAAGTGGCCTCATAATTTTCGTTTTTAACAGAACATCATCTTATCTATTAACTAACCAGTGGGAAAATTTTAAGTGAGAAAATAAATCCCATAGGTTCTTTTGTCCTACTCGGGACCTATTATTGTATATTATTCTAAGGCAGTTCAAAAAATAAAGTTGTTTTTTGACACCTTGTTATAACTCGCTCAAAATCATAAATGGAAATGGAATTATCAAAACAATAACGATAATGATAACTTGTTCAGGCAGTAACACATTTTCAACCATCGTTCAGGAGGTTATACTTTCAGATTATTTGAACACAAGTAAATTGTTTTAGGTCACAATTTTTCCTACGATATTAAAGGTTTTTTAAGTTAAATCGTTTCATGGTTTTAATACAATACCATGTGAAAGTTTAATTCTAAGTAAAGTATCTGCTAACAAATAGTTAACCATCTGATATGTGCGCTAATATGAAACATTCATTCTTTCAGTCAAGAAATTACTTATTGCAAACTATACTACTTTTACAGTAATCAGTACATATGAATGTTAGAACAAAATTCATCACACATCTATATATAATTTAAAGATGGTCATTAAGTTTAAGCTGTAACCATTGTTCAGTGGCAATATTTTTAGATATAAATTCATTTTCAACTAACTTAAATGATTTAATTTATCCGGTCTACAATCATTTAAATACTTCATTATCTCACAGTTTCTTATCATGGACTAAACTTAGTTAAACAGTCATTGAAAACCAGTTGTTTGTCTTAGTATAACACACATAAGTAGTACTCATACTTAATTTCACTGACAGTTGTTTTGATTCATAAAGCGAATGTAAAGTTCGACTGGTAAATAACGGAAAGATTTGTATTGATCCAATTAACAAACTCATTTGAAGAACAAAATTCAGAGGAAATTGTTTTTGTTAATCGGATAAACGAATCACTAAGTTATATATGTAAATTAAATTTCAAAACTACAGTTATATTTTACATATTTTCATCGTAAACAGACATAAGCTTGTAGACTAGTGAAAACCAAGAAAGGTGATATTTCCAACATCAGAACATCACTCTCACGATGAAACATGAGAAGCAATACATAACATTCACATTTCACATTCACTGTACCTCAGAGAGCGAAATCTCAGAGATAACTGGGTAATATCAACTCAGTTAGCTGTTAGCAGTGTCAAATTTTACTAAACATTTTTCAAAAATCTTTGCCCATTACTTGCAAGTAAACATTCATGAATCTTATTTTAATACATTGCATCGATTGTTTTTATTGAAAAATCCTACGAATTTCTCTGTTTTAATTTGAATTCTTTTAATTTAGGGAAAATAGTTGAATTTATCTATTCTACCTTAAAAAGTGACTCAGACTTGAGATGAAAGTCTAATTTTAATGAACATAAATATTTCTGAGGGTAAATTATTTTAAGTTCATATTCAATGAATTAATCTGGAAGATAAAATGAATCATTTTCAAGCCAATCATTTATCTGTTTATGTCATATTTACATTAAAGATTATACAGTTAAATATTTTAGTAAAACTAACACCTGTCATTCACACCCGTGTTAAACATCGAAAAGCGAATAAAATAGCTTAATATGATCAGATAAATGCTTTTAATTACCTCAACATAAATCTGGATATTGGATAATCTGTGCAACTGATTAGTAGTAGTAGTAGTAGTAGTAGTAGTAGTAGTAGTAGTAGTAGTAGTAGTAGTAGTAGTAGTAGTAGTAGTAGTAGTAGTAGTAGTAGTAGTAGTAGTAGTAGTAGTAGTAGTAGTAGTAGTAGTAGTAGTAGTAGTAGTAGTAGTAGTAGTAGTAGTAGTAGTAGTAGTAGTAGTAGTAGTAGTAGTAGTAGTAGTAGTAGTAGTAGTAGTAGTATTTTGCCCCGAACTTGGAGGCAAATATGATATTCAGAAGAAAAACTCACCTACTTATAAATACTCTCAGTAGCTATTTTACTTAAATGAAAGAAAGTGTACACAATCGATCGATATTCAAAAGGTTAACGAAATTTATTTCATCAGTTGCGAAAAGTTTTGTTCAACGTACTATGCCAGCATAAATCAAATTACTAATATTATTCATAAACATCATATCATTTAAAGTAACATGCAAATGACTGGTCTTATGATTTATATCCTTCAACCAAATTTATCTAGTTTAGTCAAGGATACCTATTTTTCATCACAGAATATTTAGACCTTCATAACATTAACGATTGGTTGTGTGTAACAAACCATTTATTTAATTCCCATTGGTACTTTAATCTTAGTCTACAATTTCTTTACTTGTTTACTTATGCCTGTTACCAATAATGGAGCATAAGCCGCTGACCGGCATTATATAACCAACTGTTACCTGAGAGTTTCCTTCCACTTCTGAACAATTGTTGTTCATTCTTTTCATGTATGTCCCCATTTCTCTGCTCGTCCGTTCTCCCTGAGGATTCCAACTTAGGACTTAACTCGTGATGCGATTGGGTGCCTTATACAATGTGTCCTATCCACCTCCAGCGTTGTTAATAAATGTGTATATCTTGTGGATAGTGACTTTCGTGATTCATCGGGTTTCCGAGAAATACAATAGAATTGTTTTAACGTTCGTATTGAAAATTCTGAATTCGGTTTTGCTGCAGAGGATGCTGCTATACTAGTCGTCTTCCCTTGCTGTGTGGAGAGAAGGGCTGAATTGTTTGCGAAGTCTGGGTCATCTAGCCGCGTCCAATCTGTCCACTGTATCTTGTGCTTCCTCTCAGTTGCTGACGTCTTCATAATCCAGTCAACCACCGGGGCAAAGAGGAAAGATGAGAGTAAGCAACCTTGTCTAACACCGGCCTCCAGCTAAAAAATTGGTGGCTGTCCTTCTCCATGCACGATCTTGCAGTTTAATCCATCGTCAGAATTCCATATAACGATTACTACCTTGTCAGATGACCTATGGTGCCGAAGAAGGCCCCATAGTGTCATCCTGTCCACGCTGTTAAATGTTTTCTTGTAGTCATTAAAGTTGGTGTGCATTGGTGCATCCCATTCATTTGATTGTTCCACAATGATCCGTAGTGTCGCGTGCGATTTGGTTGGTACATAATCGATTCGCATAGAATACAGCTTGCTGATCGCGAAGTTGGTTTTTGTTTGGTTCAACAACATTCTGTTAAAGACTTTTACTAGTAGAGAGAGAAGAGTGATACCTCTGAAAGTTATCAACCTTGCTAAAATCTCCTTTCTTGGATATCTCGATGAAATTTCCTTCTTTCCATTCCATCAAAATTTGTTATTCCTCTGAAATCTTGCTAAACACAGCGTGAAACATCTTTGCAGTTACTGCTACCTCTGCTTCCAGTGCCTCAGCTGGAATGTTTTCAGGTCCTGCTGCTTTTCTGCTCTTTATTTATCTGATTCCCACGCTGATCTCTTCAATTGCTGGTGGGTCAACATTAATTAGGTGGTTTGTGTATGCTGCTTGGATGTTGAATGGGTTCAGAAGAGCTGGTTGATTCAAGAGTTCTTTGAAGTGCTCTACCCACCTGTTTCGCTGCTCTTCAATTTCGATTAATAATTTCTCCTTCCCTGCTTTTCACTGATCGTTCTGGTTTGTAACCATCCTTGTTGTAACATACAGTTGTCTTATATTTTCCTCTCTTGCAGCTTTTTCTGCTATTATTGCCAGATCTTCCACATATTTCCATTTGTCAGCTCAGATGGTCCTCTTCACTTACTTGTTTGTTTCTGTGTATTTAGCTTGTACTTTGGCTTTTTCTGCTCTTGGAAGGCTGATATTGATTGCTGTCTTGTTGTTACTCCTTTCTTGAAACTTATCTAGAACACCAACAAAGATCCATTCCTTGTGATGCTACACCTTGTGTCCCGGAACCTTTTGATGTGTTGAAGTTATTGCTTCGATGATTCCTTCTAGTTGCAGTCCATGGTAGTTTCCTCTCCACTGAGTAGTAGACTGTGAGAGGCCTGGAACTTATTGTTCGGAGCCATATTGAATCCGTTGAGTTTTTCAGTATACCGAAGAAACTCCGTGTAAAAGCTTTTTGATGCCGTGCCTCTATGCTTCTTTAGTTTCTGTGATGATCTGAAGCTGTATCAGCTCCTCTCTTGGTTCTGATATCCTCCGCGGTCCTTCTAAACTGTAAATTAACTCAGATAAGGTCGATTTCGTTCAAATTAGTGTGACCTGGTGAAACCCATGTGACTTTGTGCATACTTCTGTGTGAGAATATGGTACAGACTATGACCACAACATTATGAACAGCAGTTTAAAAAAAACATGCGAAATTAACATAAACACTTCGTGAACAATAACGTTTACATTTAATAAATACCATTAATTATGATGATGTATGGTCATTTTCGTTAAAATCAATTTAATATCAGTTAACTACTGATCATTCATCTGACACTAAGTATAAAAACAATACAGTATTGAAGATGTGACGAAACAAATTTGGAATAAACTTAGTTAAAAAAAATACACCAATTTCATTTGTTATTGTAATGTTTTCCATTTTTTAATAACTTTTTGCTTGATATAAACAACACAACATTCATAACGAACTCATGATTCCAAACTAGAGAGGAGAAAGTAAATCAATAAAAATTCATAAACTAACACTTGATAATAACTTTTCTACAATTTAGTAAATTTCCAAAAATTCCTACCACTGAAAGTAGTATACACTGTAGATCATCTTCAAAATGTGTATACATTTTTGTAGATAAATAGAGAATTACATTGTTAGACCACCATTAGAAACCTGGAAGTAGTGGAATGCCGTTACGTTCTGGTATGGGGCTCATCAGCAGTGCGCATTCACGACTCACGTACCTCGCAGGATTCGAACCCGGGAACTTCGGTCTTGCGCGTGAACGCCTAACCTCTGGACCATTGGGCCGGCATTCAACGGTGTTAATGTCTAACTCTGATTGATTTAGGGATTTCGCGCGACCTCACCCATTTGTCTTTAGTAGTTACTGCCTGCACCCGACAGGGCTGAACTCCATTGGTCATGTCTTCTCACTAGCAGTCTGAGAATTTCCTCACGAAGCTAGTCACTAT